TCTCTCCCAGCGCTCTGTGCTTCCTGCTCCCCCCACATTCCTCGGCCCGGCCTTAGAAATCCCCGGAATCGCTCTGGGCTTGTCTGGGCTTGGGGCCAGCCCGCCTCCCCGCCTTCCATCCCACTTGGTGGAGAAACAGAAAAGTCCCCTCTCCTGACCCCAGCAGGGTCGCAGGGCGGGAGGCGGGTGAGGCCAGGCCCCAGCTGGTGGCGCTGGCTGTTGCTGGAGCTGCCCTGCCCCAGGGGTGGCCCAGACACTGGGCGCCAGGGGGGCGGGGGGCTGGGCCGGCCCCTGACCCTGTGTCTCCTGCTAGTTGGGGGCATGGCCGGCGTGAAGAGGTCCCCGTCCGAGGCTGAGGAGGAGCCGTCCGGGAAGAAGGCCTCGCCCACGCCCGCCCGGGGGCTGCCGCTGTCTCCGGTCAGCACAAACACCATGGTCCAGCGGAAGGACAGGGGTGCAGAGGGCCCCCCGCTGAAGGCTGTAAGCGCCAGCCCTGCCCGCCCTCTGGTTCTGGGGTTCCCACGGGTTCTCCCTGAGGGGGCTGGGCAGGCTGAGTTTGCCCCTGAACCCATGCCGGGGGGCGGGGGGGCTCCTTGGGGCCCACTTGGGTTCTGGCCCAGCCTCAGCAACGTTTGCAGGAGCCCACGGGCACTGGCTCCCGAGTTCCTTCAGTCCTGTGTGGTCGGGATAGGGTCCCCATTGTGCAGATGGGTAAACTGAGGCCCAGGGAGTTCCCCGCCGGCTGAGTTCCCCTTCGGTTGAACCTTGAACCCAGGCATATCTGGGCTCCGAGTGGTTTTCTCGACTCCGGCTGCTCCCTCTCCCGTGGGCCCAGGAGAGAAAGTGGGTGCGTCTTCCCTCCTAGGCCGGCCCACACAGGGAGCTGTGTCCCCACTTTTCAGAGGTGGAGCCTTGAAGGGGCCATACCTTGTGCTCGGGCGCCCCCTGCTGTCCCCTGGCCGTCACACCAGGCTCCCGCGGCTGGGCCTGACAGTCGGAGTTGGATTGGATTTCTGTGCCTTGGGGTGGGGACAGTGGGGGTCCTAGATCCTCAAGAACCTCCAAACCAAGCCTCCAGCCGCACCCCCTTGGCCAGGCTGGAGCCCCTGGACTTGGCGTCCAGCTGGCCTGGGCTTGGGCCCTGGCTGCTGCTCTGTGGCCTCAGCTCTCCAATCTGTGAAGTGGGGGGATCTTTTGCGGCTGACGGGGCCGCCCGAGCTCAGGGAGCAGCTCCTGTGGGGTCTGCGGCCGGCACGTGCACCTCGTGCAGCGGCACCTGGTGGACGGGAAGCTGTACCATCGCAGCTGCTTCAGGTGGGGCCTGTGGGGGGGCCACGGCAGCGGCGCTGCTGGGGGGGGGGC